CTTTGTGCTTACGATGACGCCCCTCACTGACGGTGCCGGGAAAAAGTTTGGGAATGTGCAAAGTCAATGATCCAATGCTGGAAATCACGATTAGTATGGCAGAGGACACGGGACTAGGTACGTTCTACAAGGTCTCCCTGACGCTCCGATCAGTTACTCCTGTTTATGCCAATTAGGGTTTTCCTTGCCTTGAAAGTCACATATTCCCTGTGTTCAACTGTCACTCATGTGGTGGAATTGTAACGAGTCGAAATATAGCTAGATACAATAATAAAATAATCGCCAATAAGAATTAGAATAAGTTAAAATGAGATTTTTCCCATTAGACTAAGAGGGAGTATAAGTATATTTAGGCCCCGCATAATTTTATATATCTTCATGCTTCAAAATTATTTGCTAGTTTGTAGACCTATTTACGATTACCTTTAGAATCTTACTTTAAAGCGGATATATAGATTTTTATTAAAAATTCTAGATTAAATTATGTAATCTTCTATTTGTTTATTGTTTTATGTCTTAGGAACATCCATGTGACGCATTTCTCTTTGAAGCAACCAACAGTGTTCGACATATTGGACTTTTGTCCATTTCCTGGGGAATGCTTGCAGATATCGACTTGAAGAGTGAGAACTTGCGTTTTATGGGTGGCGTCAGATTCACGGTGGCAGCTGTGGCCTACATTCTGCGTTAGTTTACTTTATTTGATACACGATGACGTAGCTAGTTCTGAGTTAGCCACATTCTTCATTTTTGATTATGTGAAGAGTATAGAATTAAACAATCACTCTCTTTATGATCTGAGCAAATGAGTTTTCTTTGAGAGTTGCCAAAATAAAGTTCTACTCCTGATTAAATTGTGAAATAAATGGAGGGTTATGGTAAGCACATTATGGCTAGCTCAGGTATGATTGCTTCCTCCACAGCATGGCCAGTGAAAAAATGAGACCTTGCGGGACGTACCTAGTCTTAAATACTCTTAGTGTTTATTCTAATTTCAAGCATTTGACTCTTTACTTATAATACATCCCGATGTTACGCCGGCATCGTCAGGTTGATGTGCAAGCCCAAGCACCGAATTTCTACGCCTCCAGGTGATAAGTGAAAGCACTCTTCCGGACCTACTTTCTGTTAAACCTTTATGGTATATCCCTTTCTAGCTTTCTTAGCTCATACTGCCTTATCTTCAATCCCTAACCCTATTTCATATGGTCACTTGCCTATCTACAATTAACTGTCTTTCTTTGTTCAAATTTCACCGATGAGTGTTGAGTCAAGTGGATCTAATGTGGCATAATCAACTTCACTACTGCTTCAGATGCCGTTCTCAAGGGTTTGAGATCCAATCAGCACTTTTGCCGAACCCTCCTCTCGACCTCACTTGCCAACCTTCATTGAACATTCACTGTCTTATCTCGTTGGCTGTCCATAAACCCCGATTTTGACCTCTGTGTACTTCATAGTCCAGGAATTGTTCGTATGACTGGTCACTAAAGTATGATAGAGCATGTACGATGACCATAGCGAAAATCGCTCACAAACGGTATCTCCCACGTCCGCGAAGCCTATGCTTCAGAAGCCTAATGTCCCTGTTATATTTTTTCACACTTCCATACCTTTCTATCACATCCTTTGGGACCCTGTGCCTGGCAGCATGTCAACTGCTAGTAAGGAGATATACTGCTTCCATCTGAATCAAGTAGAAACACGGCTACTGCTTTCTCACGTTGTCAGTCCTACTTAATTCTGATCTTTTATTCAGTTCAGTTTATGAATATTAGCCACTAAATACCCTAGCCCGGAATCTAAGGCGCCACCTCTCACCATACCAATGCACACTTAGCCCCAGCCTCCGCTGCAACAACCAAGTGTAATTGAAATATACCTAGATGATGAACGTAGCGTCTGAACTGGTATACTATTTTGGTAAAAATTCAACTGCTAGTTCTTGATCACCTTAAATAAAGTAGAACCAACCCAGCTCTTACACCATAACCTGTTTGTGATCCCTTGATTCTATATCTCCACTAACCTTTTGACATTGATTCCAGGCCTAACTCCTCGCAAACCTCTTAAATTTAGAAGCTGTTTGACCTTGATTTCGCAACTTGTTCATATTTGTGGGAAGTCATAGAGGAAGGCACCCAGTCCGGAGTCCATTGTATGCATGATTATTTCCAAAGTCGGATCGTGGACATGGTAGATTCCCAGACGCTTCACCGGCATCGTCAGTGAGTCCCGCTATTTTTATCACCACACAACAACTCGTCTAAGAGACAAGTGAAGCCGATCCTTTGACCAAATGTGTGCTAAACAGTTGTATCTCTTCTTCTGTCTTGGGCTATTCACTTTTCCTATATCCTCGTATCACGCTTTCACTGTCACGACTTTTTACTTGTTTATTTAAATGTGGTATGGTGTGTCCTTTTGAGCGGCTTTCATGAGAACTCTTCACACTCCACACTGGCTTTCTCACT